CAAATCTAGTCAAACAATGCTAAAATCACAAATCACACCCCAATTCAAGCTTAATGAAACTCAAGAATTTCCACCCTGCCTGAACGCTCGGGTTTATGCAAAATGCTTCTCAAGGGGCAAGTCGTGACAACTGAGATGGGGTGGCATTGGAAACATGGTCTAAGCTTTCGTGAAGCTACGAGATGGGGGTATCTTGTCTCGGCGTCGACTAGTGTTTTGCTAATGTAATAGATGGGGGATTGCGTACCTTTATTTTCTTGGACCAGGACGACGCTCACAACTACTTCGGACACGGCGAGATAGATGAGGAGGGGTTGTCACAGTTCTGGTTTTGAAAGCAACGGTGGCGATGACAAGTACACCTTTAACTCCTTCATGGCTTGGACACGCTCAGGGGTCCATTGGAGGCCGTTCTCCTTTTTGAGTACGCCAAAGAACTTATGGCACCTATAGGAGGATCACGAAATGAACCTCAAAAAGGCGGTGATACGTCCAGTCAACCTCTCGACCTGTTTTTGGTGGTCAAGTGCTCTGGTATCCCTTCGATGGCTTTGATTTGATCGAGATTGACCTCGATACCTCGTTGCGACACTAGGAAACCCAAGAATTTTCCCGAGGACATGCTGAATGCATATTTTTCGGGGTTCAGTTTCATGTCGTATTGTGTGAGTATTCCGAAGGCTTCTCTCAAGTGGTCGATGTGATCTTCTTTCCTTTTGGACTTGACCAGCATGTCGTCTATGTAGACTTCCATCATTTTACCGAGTTAGTCTTTGAATATCTTCGTCACCAACCTTTGGTAAGTTGCCCCCGTATTTTTCAGTCTGAAGGGCATGATCCTGTAGCAATATGTCCCCTGGCGGGTGATGAGGGTGGTTTTTTCCTGGTCCTCTTCCTCCAAGAGGATCTGATTATAGCTCGAGTAGGCATCCAAGAAGCTTAGTAGCGCGTGCCCGGCTGTTGCGTCGATGAGTTGGTCGATGTGGGATAATGGAAATGAATCCTTGGGGAAAGATTTGTTCAGGTCAATAAAATCAACGCACATACGCCATTTGTCGTTCTTCTTTTTCACCATGACTACGTTGGCGACCCATTGGCGGCACTTCGACTCCCTGATGGAGCTATTTTCCATCAATTTTTCCACTTCTTCGTGTACTGCGTCATTAATTGCAGAGTTGAACTTACGCCTAACTTGCCTCATCGGGGGGTAGAATGGATCGACGTTCAATTTGTGCGTGGCGATCTCCTTTGGGATACCTACCATATCTGCATGGTTAAAAGTAAACAAGTCTATGTTAGCAGTTAAAAATTCACGAAACTTACCCGGTTCCTGAAGCTTGTAGCCGATGTAAGCTTTCTTGCTATAGTCATTCCTGTCTAACTGAACGGGGTCGAGGTCCTCTATGGTTGATCCTGTGGCCTCGACCGTATCGAGGTCTCTGATGACGTCCTCGCTGTCATCACATACCGACCTCGACCTTGTTGATTGCTATGCCTATTTTTCTTTATCCTTTGTTTATTGGGTGTCTGTACAGTCTAAGGCGATGAGGTAGCATTCCTGGGATGTGCGTTTCTCCCCTCTTCTACTGAATATTCCCCATGGAGTTGGGAATTTGATGACTTGGTACAAGATATAGGGGATAGCTCGCATGGTGTGTATCCAAGGTCATCCTATTATGGCGTTGTATGTTGTGTCCTGGTCCATGATATGGAATGTGGTTGTTTCCAGAGTGATGCCACTTGCTAGGATGGGGAGTGTGATCTCGTCGGATGTTCGCTCAACAGCATTATTAAAGCTTGTTAGTGTGATGCAGCGCGACACTATCTTATCTTCGAGTTTCATTTGTACAAGTACTCGAGGATGGATAATGCATGCACCACTCCCATCGTCTACCATAATTCGTATCACATCAGTATCTAAAATTTGTAAAGTGATGACAAGAGCATCATAGTGAGGGAAGGCTAAACCGTTGGTATCCTATTTATCGAAGATGATACTTTCTTCGAGTTCATTATACCGTTCGTGGGCGATCAACCGTTTGACCTTGTGGGTTGTGGTGAACTTCACGTTGTTGATGGAGGCGTCGTCCCTACCATCGATGATCATGTGGATGGTGCGGGCTGGCGAGGGAAGTTTTGGCATCCCTTGATGTTATTCACGCCCTCTAGCGAAGGTGGTCATTCCTCGATCGCTCAGCAACTCCTTGAGGTGTCCTTGTTGTAGCATGTTTACGACCTCCTGTCTCAGAGCGATGGAATCTTCGATTTTGTGTCCTCGCTCTTGATGGAACTCGCAGAGGGCGTCTAATTTTCTGGTATTTGGGCCTGACCTCATCTTTTGCGGCCATTTCACCTTCGGTTCGAGCTTCTCTAAGGCATAGACTATCTCTGTAGGTAATATACAAAAATTATAAGCGGATAATAAAAGGAATACTTCTCTCGTTCCGGTGAGTCCCCGTTCTCGATCGGGATGGGCCATCTTCATGGCGGGATGAAGATGCAGCAGTGGTCCTGACATATGGGAGATGTCGTTCCCGGTTAGGTCGTGAGGCAGCGAGAACCCTTCTGACATCATTTCTTCGATCTTTCCTGGATTCTGCCTGCACCGAAGTCAGTCGATGGGTTGGCCCATTGAGGCCGTCCTCGTCTTCTCGGACTTCGGCGCAATATGCATTATGTATTTCGTCCTAAGTCGTTAGGGGCACTTCATAAGATGACTCAATAATTTTCTTGTTGCCCTTGAACCATTTCTGCTTAACCCGTTTTGGAAAGCTGCGATAGCCATCCCTTCCGATACATTCGGTAAGGTCATTCTTAATCGGTAGAATCGGGCGAGGAAGTCCCTCAATCCCTCTCCCGGTGACTGTTTGATGGTGAATATGTCATTTACTATCGCCTCTTCCTTTTCGGCCCCAGCATGGGCCGTTACGAACTTGTCAGCCATTTCTTTGAATGTTTCGATGGAACACGGCAGCTGCGAATCCCACGTTAATGCTCCTCCAGTGAGGGTCTCGCCGAATATTTTTAGCAAAATGGAGGATACTTGTTCTTTGGCGAGGTCATTGCCTTTCACAACGGTGACATAATAGGTAACATGGTCCTCGGGGTCAGTCGTGCCGTCATATATTTTCAAGTAGTGCGGCATTTTGAAGGTCTTTGGAATAGCATATGTGGTGGCGGCGTCGCTATATGGCTGCTCTACGAATCGACCGACGTCTCTCCTCGGCAAGAGCTTGGGAGCGCCCGGTATTTTATCGAACCTCTCTTGATGTTCTCTCATTTGGTCCCGAAGTAGCTTATTCTCATTTTCCATTTCCTCCATCTTTTTCAGAACTACAGTGAGAGCGTCGTCGCCTGTATTGCCAACAACATTGTGAGTAATACCTGTCGTTGTAGGTGGAGGAGGATGTTGATCATGTTGCTCGTCCACTGGTGGCATAACACAAGTTCTTGCATTTTCTATGGCCGTATCCCGAACGGGCTTATGGAGGATGCTGGTTAGCGTATCAATTAGCCAGGCCTCAAGGAGCTTCTTTATTGCTGGCGACGCCTCCTCTACCGTGGATGTGTAGGTTCTTACCAAGAGATTTTGTGATGCTGCAGTGGAAAGGATGTGACCCACCTCGCCTGGGGGAGGCATTGGGCGTTGTGTCCTCGTCCACTGCTTCAGAGCTCTCATGGATGATGTTCATGAGGTTGGTTGGGAGGTCGCTCATTATTCTCATTCTTTCTTCTCTGTTACCTGTCATATTAGATCTATGTATGCAAAGAGAAAAAAAAAATTCTTGTTCTTGTTTTTTTTTTCTTTACGTTAGTAACCAGTGTCAGTTGTAGATCTAGAAGAAACTAAAACAGTTAACTAGATAATCCCCATAGACGACGCTACATTGTTTGACCAAAAAGTATAACTTTCGGCTAAACTATTAAATTTATGTAATAACAGGTTAAATCTAGTTAATGATAATAACTCTAGATGCGAATCTTGAAAACGCGTGTGAGATGGGACATATCCAATGAAGTGTTGGCAATGATAAGCACAAAACGTTCATAAATAATGAGCAATAATAGGGATATAACTAGCAATAAATGGCATTTAAGTAAATAAGAGGAATGATTCACCCAATAAAGGATAGATTGGACGAATGTTCCTCCTGGCAATGATGAATGATAGATAAATCCAAGGTTTGTTCGAACTATTGTCGGATCAGGTGTAAAAGTGGTGGAATAATATGGGTAAGAATCTTGATAAAAATGTAGTCTTTGTATCCTTACAAGAGAGAGAATCTTCTTCTAAACGTGTTCTTATCAATGAATATTGCCTCCCCCCCCCCCCC